GAAAATAAATCTCCCATATCTAAACCTAACAACCTGCTCTAAACTATCTTATAACTTGAATTATTTAGTAAAAACAATAAAAACATCTTTAGTTTTCCTCAGACATTGTCTTAAATACCGGGGGGAAAACATGTGTCTGTCGGGGCATTAAATATTTGTTTGATGGCCTGACAAGTAGAAAAAGTAAAGACATTTGTGATTTTTTTTGTAACTTTACTTCTCAGCAATAAACCTTGTACTTTTGGCAAGTCTGTTTATTTCCCTAAATGGTACCGCATTTATTAGAAAAATGCATCTGTGAGTTGAACAGTGTCAAACAGCTTATTCTGCCTTTAATTCGGTTTGGTGTAATTTATTGGATTGAATGTTTGAAGTCTGGAAAAACTAAACATGTCGACAATTGGTTGGTTTCATGTGACGTCAATGCAGTACCGCGAGAGCGCGAAATGCAGATGGAGGGCAGGAAGTGAAGTCACAGATCTACCTTCTGAAAAAAATGTCCATTTGTTGTGTAGTTTATGGCTGCTTGAATCATTCTGACTGAATGTAAAATATTATTATAAATAAATTAAATAATATAATAAAATATTTACTGAACTTTTTTATGTTTGTTATATTTGAAGCGTGTTGCAGCAGGAGGCTGCAAAAGAGAGCACATTCATGGAAAAAAAACCACCTCAATCCATCCTCTGGTCTCAACCCCACCCTGCTGAACTAACATAAAACCCCCAAACTCCTGTCTGACTGACGCCTGAAATTATTAGACAAGCAGCACAAAATCTACAGGAAGAGGAAAGTAAAATGAGGCAAAAGTTGAATAACGTTTGGTGACAATGAAGGGACTGCAGGATCAGGAGTGAGCAATGAGAACTATTATATTTAGCATTTTGAGATTTTATAGTTAGGGTGTAGTTTCATGAGTTCAGTTTAGTCAGTTTTAGTGTTTGAGTCAAAACAATGAGGCGATAAACATGGAGTTGCAGCTGATTGAGATGGAGGTCAAACTGTCGACAGATGTAGATTGTGTGCCGTTATTTGTCAAAAAAACTTTTGCTGGTTTATATTAGGCACTTGGCGATTAACAGTAAGACGTCTGAAAACCAGACAGTTTTGTGATATCGACGGCCTCGATTGTCAGCAAATCTTTAGGCTTTGTTGAAAACGTATCCATCTTCATGAGATACAGTACGTGCCACGTCTGACATTTTTGTGAACTACAGTGGGGAAAATAAGTATTTAGTCAGTCACCAATTGTGCAAGTTCTCCCACTTAAAAAGAGAGAGAGGCCTGTAATTGACATCATAAGTAGACCTCAACTATGAGAGACAAAATGTGAAAAAAAATTTGAGAAAATCATTTTGTCTGACTTTTAAAGATTTTTTTGCAAATAATGGTGGAAAATAAGTATTTGCTCAATAACAAAAGTTCATCTCAATACTTTGTTGTATATCCTTTGTTGGCAATGACAGAGGTCAAACGTTTTCTGTAAGTCTTCACAAGGTTGGCACACACTGTTGCTGGTATGTTGGCCCATTCCTCCATGCAGATCTCCTCTAGAGCAGTGATGTTTTGGGGCTGTCGGCGGGCAACACGGACTTTCAACTCCCTCCAAAGGTTTTCGATGGGGTTGAGATCGGGAGACTGGCTAGGCCACTCCAGGACTTTGAAATGTTTCTTACGAAGCCACTCCTTTGTTGCCCTGGCAGTGTGCTTGGGATCATTGTCATGCTGAAAGACCCAGCCACGTTTCATCTTCATTGCCCTTGCTGATGGAAGGAGGTTTGCACCCAAAATCTCACAATACATGGCCCCATTCATTCTTTCATGTACACGGACCAGTAGTCCTGGTCCCTTTGCAGAGAAACAGCCCCAAAGCATGATGTTGCCACCCCCATGCTTCACAGTTGGTATGGTGTTCTTTGGATGCAACTCCGCATTCACTTTCCTCCAAACACGACGAGTTGTGTTTTTACCAAATAGTTCTACTTTGGTTTCATCTGACCATATGACATTCTCCCAATACTCTTCTGGAACATCCAAATGCTCTCTAGCAAACTTCAGACGTGCCTGGATATGGACTGGCTTAAGCAGGGGGACACCTCTGGCACTGCAAGATCTGAGTCCCTGGCGTCGTAGTGTGTTGCTGATGGTAGCCTTTGTAACACTGGTCCCAGCTTTCTGCAGGTCATTCACTAGATCCCCCCTTGTGGTTCTGGGATTTTTCCTCACCGTTCTTGTGATCATTTTGACCCCACGGGCTGAGATCTTGCGTGGAGCCCCAGATCGAGGGAGATTAGTAGTGGTCTTGTATGTCTTCCATTTTCTGATTATCGCTTCCACAGTAGATTTCTTCACABCAAGCTGCTTGCCTATTGCAGATTCAGTCTTCCCAGCCTGGTGCAGGTCTACAATTCGGTTTCTGGTGTCGTCCGACAGCTCTTTCGTCTTCACCATAGTGGAGTTTGGAGTGTGACTGTTTGAGGTTGTGGGCAGGTGTCTTTTATACTGTTAACGACTTCAAACAGGTGCCATTAATACAGGTAATGAGTGGGGGAAAGAGGAGCCTCTTAAAAAAGAAGTTACAGGTCTGTGACAGCCAGAAATCTTGCTTGTTTGTAGGTGACCAAATACTTATTTTCCACCATTATTTGCAAAAAATTCTTTAAAAGTCAGACAAAATGATTTTCTCAATTTTTTTTTCACATTTTGTCTCTCATAGTTGAAGTCTACCTATGATGTCAATTACAGGCCTCTCTCATCTTTTTAAGTGGGAGAACTTGTACAATTGGTGACTGACTAAATACTTATTTTCCCCACTGTAATTGCCGGTATCACTGTCTTGAAACTGATCTAAATCTGAACAATACAGACTCATAACTGTTTCCTCCATAGATGTTTTACTTCCTGCCCATTTGAAATTGTGTCGCCTTCAAAAGCACGTGACTGAAACCTATTGAAGCTACTGAACAATTTGTTCATTTAGCAAACATGTCTCAATAGAATGTGGAAGAACCACACACAGCCACAACATTCTGGCATCTCACTGCACTGCGTGCCATCCTTCAACCAGCATTTCTTTTAAGTTAGCCAACATGGCTGTGTTGGTCACGTTGGACCAAACAGCACCCCCGAACTGATCCCACAGGTATTCAACAAGGGGTTCAGGACTGCTAATGTTCACAGCGAAAGAACTCACAAAATTTTTTTTGGCAATTGTTTTACACCAGATGTCCTCCTTAACGTAACCTGGGCTCAAACCCCGCAGCCTCAGGATTACGTGAGAGAGGCACTGACCACTGAACTCCTGCAGCCCCCTTCAGCCATCATTTTCTGTACTTTCATAATAGTTTTGACTTTTGTTTGTGGATGACTGCAAAGCTCCAGAAAAGACTGGAATTCTACAGCTTTCTCACACAAGTCAGTGTGTTGACAAATAAACATGTTCCTACAAAATGTTACTGTTACAGTGATGATGTACTTATTAATAACTTGAAATTTTGCTTTTAAATTTGACATGACTCAAAGTGCAATGTTTGTTGTAATATTGTCACCAATAAATCTCAATATATTGTCCAAAGATTTGGGCAGAACTGTAAAATGTTCATGTTCAATTAGTTTAAAGTATTTGAATAACAGAGCATGAACTAGAGAGTATCAGTCTTTAAAGTAGCACCAAAAATGAAAACAAATATGCTGTAAAAGAATGTCCTTTTTTGTCAAGGAATTAGCCAAACTCATTGATGTAAATACATTTGTCAAACAAGGTTTGTTTAAATTCTGAACATCAACAATGTAAGAAATTACGTTTAGTTCACAAGCAAATATTTTGCATAAATTACTTCAACTGCCTTTGATGACAGAAAATAGTTATAATAGGCATGACTTGTAAATGTAGGCTATTATTCTCCATTGGGGAAATTATTTCTCTGCATTTTCTCAATGACAAGTGTGAGCACACAGGGAGCAGCAGTTGGACAAACGAGGGTTTCCTACCCACGTTTGTCGTCCGTTTAGAGAGTTCAACCGGTGACCTTCCAGTCACAGGTTCACCTTCTCTAACCTCTGCACCACCACTTCCCAAGATTAAAGTGTTATTTAGTGTAAAAGGTCATGACTATAACTACTTAGAAATTATTACGTATTATTGAATTAACATGATCAATGAAAATCACATGATGCAAACATTTCAAAATCTAACTTTGTAGCACTTTTAGAGAACAAATACTATCAACTTATTAGAAGATTTGGATCCAAACTATAAGTGAAGCAAAGCTGATCAAAAAACAAACAAAAAGTTAAAAGTAGTATGATTAAAATAAATGGTACAATTTGAAAATCTTTTAAGATGTAGAAATGCCATAATGCCTGTTTAGTATGTAATTTGTTTTACTCTCATCTTTTGGGTTTTCAGATTTGTTTTTTTCAGTTTGTCAGAGGTCAGTGTTGAAAACACAGTTTTCATTTAAAAACACTTTTTGTTTGATTGCTTGTAGTATAGTTAAGGACACTGGAAATATCCAATTTAACATTGGAAACGTTAAATAATATTTATATTAATAATGTTTTATTGGTTTATTTTATTAAATTTAATTTTGAATATATTCTATTTTGTTGGGTAAAAAGGTGTTAGAATAACAGATTTTTTTAAATATGCAATTTATGTTTAAATGTCTTTATAATTAATATTTATATCTTAAAAATAATTTAAAGGTAGAGTAAAACCTATAAACAGGAACCCTGCTCCTTTGTAACAGCTGTAGGAACTAATATACTCCACTTCTACCCATTTTTTTCTGTTGTCTCCTGGTTTTTACTAACTTAACATCAAATCAGAATAATTCTGAATAAATATCTGTAGGTTTCCTTTAGCTCTTCACACCAATTTAGAAAATATGAAAACATCAATAATGAATATGTCTTGTTTGTCAAATGAGAAAACAAAGAACTGAAAATAACTCTTGCAGCTAAGTAGCTACGAGGTTTAAGAGGTCATGTCCTACCAAATCACCCTCTTCTTCCTCTTCCCTCTTGGGTATCTGAGGCTCCTCTTCGGGGTTGAAGTCTTCCATCTCAACCTAAACATTTAAGCACACCTCAGTTTAGCTCAGTCTCTGAAAAATAATTATTATTATTCACCAAGTCTAGAAAGACCCCCACCTCTTCTATAGCAGCATCTTGAAGCAGGGACCGGACATCCAAGCGCACCATATGACGAGGCGAAGACTCCCAGTTTTTGGACATCTACACGCAAAATAATCAAGTAAGAATACCCCACGCATTGTTTTGGTAAAATAAATAAATAAATAAGAAATTATCTCTTCGTTAATCAAGTAATGTTTTAAACCTTAGTTATATCCTTTAGTGTGCGTCCATGGACATTCCTCTTTGCACATGTTTGAGTGTCAGCAGTGATTTCAGCCACATACACCTTGAAATAATAATAAAAACTCTTTAACATAATCAAATGGGATGTGTTGTTCTGACTTATTCATGAGCGCATCTCACCTCAAAGCCTTTAGTTTTGGCTGCACTCCAGAACTGATCAAAATGTTTAACCCTGTCATTAATGGAGTCTAAAATAATGAAGGGGAAGAAGCCGTCGTCCAGAGTTTTCCTAAATGTTTTCAGCATGCTGCTCCGGTAGGTGTCCTCCATGTTTGGCTCATACTCATACTCAAGGACCTGCAGGATAATTGTTGAGAAATAGAAATATGAAAGTAGAAATAGAAACAAGCTTTAGTTGTTTAATAGCTGATGACATCAGTTGAACCAACCCTGGTTTTCACCCTCTTTCCAGTGTCGGGGTCTTTTTGAACTTTCTCAACCTCAGTCATGAAATAATCATCCAGCACAAGAACTCTTGGAGGTGCACCGCCACATTCAACTTCTTTGTCCTTAAAATAAAATTTAAAAAGTACATATTTATTTCAAACAATGAGGTTCAAATAAATACAAGTTTTGCAACTAGGGTATAATTTTCTTAACGTTACAACATACATGAACAAAAACAGACACTCACTCGTATGAGTTTTGCAACGTGGCTTTTTCCACTTCCTGGAAGGCCTCTCATTATGACGACAATCTGTTAAATATAAGCCTCCAGTAAGCATCTAACGTCACACACCCACACACAATATTTTTACCAAACTTAAAACAGGAGGAAGCAAATATTACCCTCTCAGGTCGAGATACTCTCCCAGGTGTTTTGAGGATATCTTCAATATTCTTGATTTCAGGCTTCTTCTCGACTTTGGCAGGTGGTGGTGCGAGGGGTGCTGCAGGGTGAGGCCCTCGGTCCTCTGGATACCCTCTTCTGTCCACTGCGTGATATTATATGTAATTCAGATATTTTTTTTGTGATCAATTTAATTGTCCACGTTTCACCCTAACAGTAATACAAGTCTAGTCGACATACTGAAAGGTGAGCTGTAACGCTCAGACCCACCTCGGTCAAGTCCGGGGCGCTCATATGGAGGTCTGTCATAGCCAGGTCGTGCGTAACGATCTTCAGCATCACGACTGCCACTTCGCTCCTTGTCTCGTTCTCTGTCCCTGTATCCTGATCGCAGAGCAGACACCAATGGAGACCTACACAAAAGAAAACCATTAAACTCAATCACAACTTATAACTAAATGTGATGTAGTATTTTTTTCCCAACTATAAAATGTGTGCTTTAAAGTGAACTCTGACTAGTAACATTAGAAATTATTAACTAAAGATCTACTTCAATTATAAAAAGAGCACTGTTTAGTTTTTATAAATTAAAAAATATATTGTCACAAACACGACACCGTGTTATTTATCTGCAACAGAAAATGAAGATGGAGAACAACAGTACTGCTTCATGTAAGGCTTGCCTTAGCTTTAGCCTTTTAGCTTTCATGTTAGCTCTTGAGCTAATACATATAAGACAATATATTTTTAGCTCCCCATTATATATATA